ATGCCTCTTATCTCGGTAACGGAAAAGACCTGAGCAGAGATATTTTCGAATTAGTCATGTCCTTATGCTAATAAGTAACTTGCAAAAAAGATTTTTCTTCAACTCGTCTGCAAAAAAAATCCAGCCAAATCTATTTCGACTCCATATGAATACAACGATAACGCTAATGAGAATCATTTATCGTTAGAAAGCGATTTATATACATATGGAGTCGAAATACAATCCAATATAGTGCACGATCTCTGTCCGTATTCCTCATGTTCTATTAAAATTAAATATTAACTAAAATAAATCGTTCACATTCTTCTTTATTCGTATTAAAGTATAACAATCCCTTCTCCATGAAAAAATCTCTTTTTTAAGACTAAAAAAGTATTTTTTAAAAACTATATATTTATTCCACTCCATATTTTTGTTAAAAGAGTCGGTTCACCTATAGTTTTAAACAGAAAAAAAAATATCGAACAGGATTTTAAAAAAATATATTCGTGGTATATTATATTACACAACCTTTTATCTGTCATTCATCTGATCTCTGCATTCTCTCAAGTCTCAAAGCAGATGCGTTCGAAGAGCATATTGTAGATAAGAAGAAAGAATACCTCGTCTTGCGCTACCGTTACCGGGACAGGGTGCTGCCGAATGGCAGTTTCTCTGCAGTTGACACGCTTCGGAAATGGTCACCCATCTTGTTACTAGTCCTTAAGCGCAGCTTTGGCCAAAAGGCTAGCTTGACGCAGAGTTCTTTCGACCAATTACTTGAGCTCTTCTTACACACGCACCAACCACGTACTAGCTTTCCGAAACGCTACGAACACTAGCAAAAGAAGTTTGTTCTACGTGACAACATAGTGGGTGTGCTATCGGCGGGTGATCTAAGGCACTAAAACATAAGTAACTTGTCCAAGATTATTACATGACTCTGCCGACGGCGAGGTGCGAACACAGTACTTTTGAAGTACGTGTCGAACAACATGATCATCAAGTCATGCTGCCGCATGTTATAGACAGATATAGCGAATCAACAACAAACTCAATTACCGATGACATTTAGCAAAATAAACTTGGAGACAAGCTCGAATTTTTACCGGGTGGCGCATAATGGATGGCATACGTAGTATTTTACTTATAACTTCTTTCCTTTTCAACCTTAGACCTGATTGTTTTTTCAAAAGATGTTTTGTCAAATTCTCTACAAAATTATATATAAATGTTATGATATTTATGCCAGATACAGTTTTTATAAAATGAAAAGCAATGATCTTCAGAAACTCGTACTTTCTAAACCTGAAAATGGTGAAGGTCCAACAAAAATATATATTCTTCTCATATTTCTTAATTCATGATAGTAGTCTCGGAGTAGTGAATGGCTCTATGAAACACACAAAATCTTAGTTTAGAAAGAAAGAAGATGGTATTTTCCGGAAAGCGTAATTTTTCTGTGATCCCTACAAAACGTTTCCACTATATACGTTTTTAGAGCTGACAGTTCTCTACAAATTGAATTGCTGGAATAAGATACACGACAAACGGTCAAAAGCTATCTTAGTTTAGATAGAGGAAGATCATTGCTACTTTTTGATGCCAAATTAAAGTGTTTATTTCCATCAGACCAGAGGGTATCAATACTCAATGCATTTGTACTATTAGATAATTTTAACAATATTCATCCTAACATAAAACTGACACTTGATGGAATAATAAATTGGATTCTAGATAATAACTTGGCATTCTTACACGTTTTCATCGAGAAATATTTAAATTATCTGGAGACAATGCGATACATTCGATGATAACCCAGTCATCATCATCATCTTAAGCTTAATTAGACGACTGTGCTACGATTAAAAAAGTTTAATTGTTTCAACACTTGGCTTTTAATGTTGTATCGTTTTTCTCCTCTATTTACTCTATTGGTCATATCACAGAGAATACAATCGAGACTATAGGCTTTAGCTTTCTGAAAATAATTCAGTATCTTTTGGAACTTTTCTGTTATAGGCACGTTTCTCCATTGATGAAAACTTTCATAAAGTGTACGATTCATTGAAACCATTTTTAGATAATGTGCTGCATCTTTTGGAGTTTTGAATTTTCGTAGATCAATAATACAACTTTCGCATGGTAGCCAATCTTCCACATTCGGTGCCCCAAGGTAAATGGGTACACTGCCGCTGAGTAGTGGATGCCATAATTTTTCTGTTATATAATCATACGAAAGACTATTTTCAATAGCTACGGTGAACAGATATTCACTTGACAGTGCTAATTTGCCTTCTTGCCATTTGTAACTGCTTCTTTTCGCATCTAAAGATGCCGTACCTTGAATTTTAGCGATATGCTTAGGCAATTCTTTCTTATTTCGTCCACATTTCCCGTAACTATCAACATCGATATATTTCATTAATTCAAGAACATATTCTGTACGGTTTGAATACGTTTTACAATTACTATTCATCCACAGAATTGGTGCGGTTATATAAGATGTAGCATTATTAGCTTTTAGGGTCATCCATCTAGCATGTCTGAAATTTACAAGTCACTGTACCGGAATCTTCACTAAACACTCTCAATGATCTTCTCAAAAGAACTTCAGACTCTGCTGATCTTGTAGTTCAGACTGAAAGACCTAGAAAATCAATATTTATAGATCTGTGAAAAGTTAGAGAATTTTTTTTGAAAGAACCGAAGACAAAACGTACGACAGAAAGTTAAAAATTTCTTTCTCTCGCATTGGAGAAACGAACACAAGACTTCGCAACTGTAAACACTCCTCGGTACTGCTATAGTCAGATTTTCTTAACCTCGGATTTCTAGCCGAAAATTGGCTTTTCAGGAAAGGCATCTGGACGAATTTTTTTAATGCCATTTGCAAACTATTTAGTTAAGGGCCGCCCCCCCCCTCAGAAATGGTGATTTTCGGTCAAAAAATCGGTTTTAAGATACACACATGGAAAGATAGCCTGAAGTGTCTACTTCCAGAATCTGTATTGCTTTTGGTTACAAAACTGCTTTTTCGGGGATTTTGAGCAAGTTTTCCAAGAGCCTCGAAAAAATGGGTCTTTAAATAATGGTTTTTTCCTGGATACTCATGCAATTAAAATTTTTTTTTGAAAACACAGCTTTGTAGAG